CACACCACGAGGGACTGGGCTCTGTATACTACCTTACCTTACCGAGCGGAGATTATGTAACCCGCCGCAGGTCGGGATGAGAAAGTCCTCGATCTCGGCCAATCCGCCCACCCAGGCAGGGCCAGTAAGGTAGTGTCAAGCAGCGGAATGATGGTGGAGTCCGCTCCGATGCGTGGCTGTCATGGACGCTCCTTCAACCCCCCTCGTCCACAGGCAATTGCTTCAAAACCTGTCCGTCAGTAAGGTAAGGTAGGTAGGATGGGATTCTTCAAGGCTTGGTCCTTCGTAGTCAACCGGAGATTCTATGTACCTTGGCCTCCCGACTGCCCGTGAGCGTGCTGGAATTAAAATACGCTTGCTGCATGTCCGGGAGCGCATGGGATGCCCTGTGGCCCCAAGTACGCGTATCGTTGCAGGGCCCAACCCCTCCACCCGGCTCCCATCCCTTCACTGTGGGAGAGCATCCATCCCTTGCCTACCGAAACTGTTGAGTTGGTCAGCTCTCTCAATTTCGGGGACTGATAGGCTGCAGCGCGCCCCATCGTCTGTCAATGCCAGAAATAACCTGCAAAGGAGAGAAGAAAAAGACGCGTCCAGCGATTGAGATTGTTCCGAGCTGGGTACCTGCGGACATTGGACATTGGCGAAACTCGTGCCCAGCTGGCCCCCAAAGATTGGACATCAGGTTCCAGGAATCGCCGGGCAATCCGAGACAATGCATCTTGACGCCAGTTGCGCTGGTTGACATCATCACATGCTGCCCGTAGCTTCATCACCCAACTGCAACTGGTCTGACCAGCTTTTTATCAGCTGAGGCGCGAGCTCCCATTCGTCTCTTGTCATGCAGCTAAAGTCGGCCACACACACTCTGCTATGTACATGTGGCTACCTTAGTCATATGTGGCTGTGCAGCCCAGTCCAGAGTGGCTGTGGCTGATGGCCTCACGGGAAGTCGCGTCGTCCACGTTCACATCTGTTTCGCGTCGCGGCACAGCTGCTGCCCGCCGCAACATGGACCTGCGGCAGCTCCCGATAAGACATCCACGATAAGAAAACACAAGCCACTATTCAGACCGACCCCAACAGCCAAAGCCAACCCAACACCTTGAGTCTCTCCCTTCCCCACCATCGACAATGCGTTTTCGAACGCTCCTCCTACGCAATGGACGACTTCTCGGACGAGGAATTTGATGGATTGAACGACGTCGCCCTTCAAGAGCTTGAAAACAACGCCATCCAACTCACACAGGCCCAGCGCAAGTTCGACGACTCCCAGCCTGCCCAAGGCACCCAGGTCGAAACTTACGATGATCTCGAGTTCGAGGATGACGATCTCGATGATACTGAGGTGACCAACCAGCTGCTGCCTCCGGTTGCTCGCCCCCTGCCCGACAAGACGATACCCCAGCACCAAACCCATCTCGCGAGAAGACCTTCGCTCCAGACCCCGCAGAGATGGAATCCTCCTCCAGCTTCCGTCAACCAGCCCGCCATCTCTGCCCGACCGAGATATCCTGCACCTGTCCCGTCCTTTGTTCCTCCAGTCGCCTCGCAACGATTCAAGCCTCCCGTTGGCGCACCTCATCGCCCTCAGCCATCCCAATATGCCCGACCTCCCCCTCCTTCGACCCGCTACAACCCCCCGCAATCACAGGCTACTGCCCCGGCAGGGCCCGCGGGCAGCGTCGTTGCCGCTCTCCAGCAACAGCTGAAAGCCCTCCAGGCTGATCTGAACGCTGCGCGCGGCGAAGTGACAATCATCCGATCAAACTCCGCCAAAGCCCAACAAGATCACGCTGCCGAGATTGCGCGACTCAAGAAACAAAACGCCGAGCAGGCCGCAAAGCAAGAAAGCGCTGTTGAGGCTGCCATCACGAAAGAAAGACAGGCCACGACCGAGCTGCAATTTTTGCAGCGCGATTTGAAGGATGCCGCCAGCAGACCACGCCGAAAGGACGCCGCACCACAGGCTCCTGCACCCGGAACTACAACCCCGAGGAAGACGACCAAGACGTGGGGTATGGCCGATGGATTCGACGACATGGATATCGCCCCGAGCCCTACCAAAACGAGAGGCAAGACTAGGGATTCTGGCCCAGTGGCTGTTCCGTTGTCGGAACGGACGCCTACTAAAGGCAAACGCAAACGTCCAACCGTTGACAGCCCTGTGATGGCCCTAGAGGTCCACGCGGGCGATGTGCCCATGGCTGACGATGCCACCGTTACGGCACTGCCTGTTCAGCATCCCGCTCCAGGAACAAGCGTGCTTCCGTTCGAGGTAAGCCTATTCATGTCGCCCGTTGGCACAGCACGCTCACTAACGCCGTTACAGTTTCTCCAGGTCATTCTGGATCATGGTTCGCTACACGGAGAGCCGCCAACTTTTGACATCCTGTCTCGCTATGCGTTTCCGTCCGATCCGGCGACTTCATTCTCCGCCTTCATCTTCCGCGAACTGCCTCTGATGGGCAATCCCTCAAACCCTGTGCAGCTCCTGGTGGACTTTGCACGCCTCGTCATTCGCATGTGGGCCCAATGTCTTGATGAGACCTACTTGCGTCCCGTTTGGGATCTCACTTCCTTGCTCTCCTTCACCCTGCAGCTTCAGACCATGTCAGTGGCTCCCCTAGTGATCGAGGACCTGGTTCCTGTCGCTGTGAACTCCATATATATGGTTGCCGAAGCACGGTTTAAGAGAAATGACACGGATGGCTCAACTGAGTCCGCCGCAGACGCCTTGGAGCAAGATGTTGACTCCACCTACATCTTGTCACTGCTTTACGCCTCTGCCGCCGCCTGCGCCACCGTTGTACAAGATACCGAAAACGGTGCACAAACTCGGCAAGCTGAAATTTGGCAGCTAATCACTGTCGACATGGTGTTAGCATTGCTGACATCCAAGCAGCGGCTGGAGGATGTTGTGGGAATGCTCGACATGCTATGCACCTCAGTCCTGCCCAACTCCATTGGCCCCATCGTTCCTGGAAAACCGCCCGAGTTCATAGCTCGGATCCTCATCGATAGGGTTTCTATGAATCTTGTCGAACTACCGCGAGCAGCCGTCACCGGCAGCGAGAAACACGCCGTACGATTCGCTGTGCTGCGAACGCTCATGAATTTTGCGCGTTCACCGTTTGGAGCACGACAGATTGCGAGCCACGTCAGTGTTATACCGCGACTGGTCACAACGCTGGGCGAGCTTGTCGACGGCTTGTATGACCTCTCTGATCCTGTTATAGACGGCAAAGGCGGTGGCTCTTGCTCCTGGCGCAAGGACGGGGCCGTGGACGCTACCCCAGATGATCCCCGCGATAAAGCCGACGACTGGGACGATGGCCGCAGCGGTTCTTCCTTGCTGATATCTCAGATCGTATTGTTGCTGCACACCCTAGCGACCGATCCGAACACGGCCAACGTTGCGAACATTCTCTCGAAACTGTCCGTATCACACGGCGGCTCCCAGCGTTACATGCTTTCTCTTTCGCGACTCAACTTTTCCGAAGAAGACTTAGTCTATGAGGCGGGCATTGATGCAGACACGGTTGACAGAGCCCACGAACTACTCGAAATTGGCGTCACTCCAGACGAAGGCGACAGCGTAGCAGAGTCATTTGGCGTGTAAAAGTAACTACAAGTTCCATCAGGTCGGGCTGCATCATGTCCATGTCCAGACGAAAGCGACCGTCTGATATCATTGCGTCTGTTCTTTGGAGCGAAGCATCCGAACTGCGTGCGAGCACGGTTCATGTGGCGGTGGTTGCGATAACCATGTGCCATTGCCATGGACCTGTCAGTACCAAACGGATGCGGAAACGCCACGGTGGCCACGATTCCCACGCGCCTTTTTGCCGCATGGTACGAGAGTTGTTGATGGCCGCTGGCCACTTGACAATGCATCAACCTAATGCAGGTATTCAGCGGCTGCGAGTGTGATAGAGGCGCCGAGAGAGGTCGCGGCCAATGAATCACGCTGCGGCTTTGAATGCAAAACCTCATGGGGTGGAGCTACCTGCAGAGTCATGCGGATTGCCTACTTTGGCCTTGTATTTGACATGAATCTCCTGCCCGCCAGTCGGCATCGAAGGATGATGGAATCATTTTTGTGAGGGGAAGAGTCGGTCGAAGCTCCAGAGCCAACAAATCAACCATGTCTATCTCCCTCGTCCGCCTATCTCCAGAGACTCGGTCGCCTTGCTGCGCTCTCGCCCAGTCGACTCGATGTCTCAACCTGCACAGTTGCACTGACCCCACACGCTAAGGATCAGCGAAAACGATTTGGCTGATCCTCGAGCTCGACTTTGAGGTCGAAACGCGCCGACTAGCCGTGAAGATCAGGTCGGTGCTGGTCGTGGATAGAGAATGAGGCGCTAGTCCAGAACATTCGAGCTAGGCCGTAGCGTCCACAAGTGATGGCCTCATTCATAGAACGCCCCTGAGTCAAGAAATAGCTCCTCGCCGATAGAGCAGCCACTTCCGGTCGTTCATCCCAACTTGCCCAATCCTGATTGGGGTTGTTCAGGTCCAAGCTCGCTTCGTCCGGCGTGGTGTGCAGGGAGGGGCTGAGCCGGAGTCAAAGCTGCGATGGCATCAACACCACGTTTACTTTTGCTGGATTCAAGTCGGGTCGGAGTCAAATGCAGCCAACTCCAGAAGCGAATAAGGCATTAGACGTGACATGGCTTTTGAGGTAAGCGCAGGAGTCGGCCGTTAAGCTTTCAGGTCACACACAGTCGACTAGGAACGGGGGGGGGGGCCACTTACGCATCCTGAGGTCGCCGAAGGGTGCATGTCTAGTAGACTGGAGGGGAGCACATGTAACAGACCCAGGTAGTGCAATAGATGCCCAACCCAAACCCCATCTGCCTGGACTTGCATATATCATACGACCTCGCCTCTAATTCCCTCTTCTTTGCTTTTCCTGGAGAAGACTTGAACGAAGAACGCCCAGTTTTACATCCTTACTTCTTGTGTTGACGGATTCCATCGCCTCCACTACCGCCATGAACATCCTCTTCCTGTGCACCGCGCATAACTCCCTTTCTCAGCGCCTGTACCTGGCGTTATCCAAGACTCATACGATCACCATCGAGTATGCTCTCTCAGATGATGCGATGATCGAGGCGGCCAAATTGGCCAAGCCCAATCTCATCATATGTCCGTTTCTGACATCACGGGTACCCCGGGAAGTCTACGACAACTTTCTCACGCTCATTATCCATCCCGGCCCTCCGGGCGACGCCGGCCCAAGTGCTCTCGACTGGGTAATTATGGGAGATGATGGCTCAGAAGCCGACTCTGAGAACCTGGTACAGACCAATGCTTGGAGCGAGTTTGGACGGCCCTACTGGGGTGTCACCGTCCTGCAAGCCGTCGAAGAGTTCGATTCCGGACCAGTGTGGGCTTTCGAGCAGTTTCCTCTACAAATCGATTCACCCACCATCACCAAATCAAGTCTCTACCGTGGCCCCGTTACAAGAGCCGCCCTGACTGCCACCCTCGCCGCTATTGACAGAATCCAGGCAGCTTCTATACAGGCCGCTTCACCCTACACTCCCCCGCCCTCTCCGGGCAAGAACAAGTTCTTCCCCCACCTTGTCAACCCGTTGCTTCAAGCAGACCCCACCTTCCGCGACGCCTCGGTGACACTACAGAAAGCCTTCCTCGGAGGAGTCACGCGTCATCGGCCGCTCCTCAAAGCAGCTCAGCGCGACTTCGATGTCCAGTCACACACGGCTCGGGAAATATCCCGAAGGATTCGGTCATCGGATTCCCAGCCCGGCTGTCTGACGAAGCTGTTTGGGCCCAGCCTCTACGTATATGGGGGAACCATCGAGGAGAATGAGGAGCTCACGGCTGGGGCACGTCCTGGAGATATCATTGCCTGCCGTGACGACGCTGTTTGCGTCGCAACATGCGACGAAAAGGGTATCTGGATCTCGCATATTCGACGTCTCAAGCGAAAGACGGACTCGATGCTGTGGCCCAAGGTTCCCGCCGTTTCTGGCCTGAACGAACTCGACGTTCTAGACAATGACCTCTTCTCCGAAAACCGAGTCTCTCGAGCAACTATTGACTGGTCTCAATCCCCTCACAACACAAAGCAGGACATCTGGATCGACTTCCAAACCTTTTCAGGTGCCAGGCGGGTGGCGTTCCTCTACTTCGACTTTTACAACGGCGCTATGAGCACCGAACAGTGCTCTCGCATGATTGACGCGCTGGACTTCATCACAGCCAGCCATGTTGTGGAACGACCCCTCAGCGCAGTTGTGCTTATGGGCGGCGACTCGTATTTCAGCAACGGAATCGCCCTCAACGTAATCGAGGCCGCCTCGGATCCCGCTCTCGAATCCTGGCTGAACATCAACCGCATCGATGACGTGGTCCACTATCTCCTGCAAGAGTTCCCATCACGAAACATCCTCACGGTCGCCGGCATCCGTGGCAACTGCGCGGCCGGCGGTGTCGCCCTAGCTGCCGCATGCGACGTCGTTATTTCCGGTTCCGAGGTGGTGCTTAATCCAGCCTACCGTGCCATTGGCCTGCACGGTTCCGAATATCACTCTCTGTCCTACCCCGGACGATGTGGCTCGGCAGGCGCCACGAAGCTGTTACGCGACATGACACCGCTGTCGCCGGCTGACGCGCGAATGATGGGCCTCGTCGACCACACTCTCCCGGGAACTGGGGCTCTCCTCGACACACGTATTCGAAAGCACGTCAAGTCGCTCTTGCTCGCTGGTAAGCCGGCCGCGGCGGCCTGGAAGAGCAATGTTGACGTCTCCCCTGCCGGTCTTGCGTGCGCTCGTGCTCAAGAGCTTGGGGAGATGTCCAAAGACTTTTGGAGTGCGAGATCACAGAGATATCATCTTCGCCGAAGAGACTTTGTCCGCAAAGTGAAGGCCGCCAAGACACCCCTGCGTTTCGCGATACACCGCCGAAAAGTGGATGAGCTGGACGAGGAGGAGTCGGACGACTTCGATGATGTCGTCATATTTGAGCGCAAGGCCAGGGCCACTCTCTTGGCCGACAAGCTCAAGGAGTACGTTGAAAACATGACTTCGGCATCCGCCCGCAAGGACACAAATTCAAGCAACGCTGCCGTACACGCGAGAGCGGCGAGTGAGAGCGTCAGCAAACGAGATTTGAGACCTATCTTTTCGTGCTATTACGATGTCACCGCCTGATAAGGCAAGCAGTCTAATCTTTGGAGCACAACAGCACGTGGGAGCGAGATACACATCGCCTTGAATAGCTATTTTCTTTGTAATCGGGGAAGTATGTCCAGTACGAAGGCACTTTCAGTACCAGTAATACCAATCTCTTTTTTCATGAAGTTTGTAATTCCACATCCCAGCTTGACAGCTGTTCATTACGTACGGAGATCATCCTGACAACGCCAACCGCGTGATGCAGACCGCCCAGACAGCTATGGCTCCTTGTCAACAACGTTGGCCCTCTGCGGACGGGCGGAACGCGTCGACTCTCGTTCTCTTTGTCGCTCGAAATGACATGCGAGTCCCCATCGTCTTGTATGTAGCAAGGTTTGTCCGGTCAACCCCTAGCCAAGAGCCATCGTCGAACTAGCGATTTTCTTTGAGCAACGGTCCTGGCCCGCAGACTAGTCAGGGCTCTTTGCCGTTTGGCAACAGCCCCATCAGACCCAAAAGATGAGCTCAGCAGCGACCTCACATCACCCCATTCATCAGCTCATGAACTGCTCGAGCCAACTGTTCCCGTACTATGTTGGTGTTCCTAGTACCTTTTTGCCTTGACCTTTCCGGGGAATCCCCGCACGCTCGGCCAGTGACTCGGAACATGTGGATCAGCATTCGGGACAGTGGGGCCGGACCCCGGTGAAGGACAGGGGTTGATAAAAGACGCACAGAAACCCAAGGCTTTACTTTCGTCGCACTAGATGCTCGGCAATCGTAAATCTCCCGTTTTATTTTGGGATTTGCGGTGTTCTAATCGATCGGGAATCTAAAAATATTGGGATGTGGAAAATTGGAGGACCCACGAGCAGCGTGGCCGCACTGACAATCTAGAGGCTCCGGAGGCTTGCACTAACGGCCCAGGTGTGACGCCGAGCTGGCGAGCCTAGCTCTTCCACAGTTGAGCACGCCAGGGCTTGTGTCTAATCCACCCCCAGCCACCCTCAACGGCTTTACGACGTCATCAGCGAGACGGATCTTCATCAAACACTCTGAGAGAGCAAGGCAAAATGTACGACAGGATCACTTTGTCTTCGTTTCTGCCGAGGTCGAGAAAGGTGAAGGTGATTGAGGCGTGTCATCGAATCAAGAAACCCAGATACCAGCATATCTTACAATTTCCTATCGTTTCTTCTCCTCTCTTAGCGAAGTAATTTACAGACAGTAGCATCAACCTGGATGTCTTCCTGGTGTTCTTCGCATCTAATACCCCCTCCTCCTAAACTCATGATAATCGAAGCAAACCCGACGACGATGTCTACTATGACATCCATGCCTAATGATTTGATGGCTCATTCCAGCCATCAAAGTCGTGGAAGCGCGCTTCAGCCTGCTTCGGTTGTTTCTCCATACCTCTTCTCCAAGCCATGCATGCGACACCATTGTGGCTCACTCAAAGGATCTTCTAAGGTCTCAGAGTTCTTTTCATTAATAAGGGAATAAGACACGAGTTCAACGGTGCAGGCCAATGAAAGCACTTGCATCGAGACAAGATGCAGGAGGCCCTCCAAAGCACGGGCCACTTCACAGGTCGCAAGGTGTGCCATCTACCAGCATCTATCAGGTAGGTATCTCCATTGACGGTCAAGGTTACCAAGCTTCGCGCGGTAAAAGAAAGTTCGAAAAACCAAACGTAAAGAGGTCCAGAATATGAGGGACATTCGGGGAAAGCCCACCAGTATCTTATAACAACCTAGCTTTCGTCCTGTTAGACATTTCTGAATCTTCCACTTCTGTTCAACCAAGAACATCAACAACACTCTACTAATCATCAATCCTGCCGATATTCAATCGAAATGTCTCTTCGTCAGCAACTCACCAGGCCGCTGGTCAACGATGTGTCCGACGGCTGTCAGCATACTCACACCGTCGTATTCCTTCATCGCTTCAAGGAGGAAACCACCTACGAGGAGCTAAAGACCAAGGTCCTTTCCGAGAAGTTGACTAAAAATCACAAGACCCTCCGCGAACAATTCCCCAATGTTCGTTTTGTGTTTCCTTACGGGAAGGCTAGTCCTCGCCCGTGGAACAATCTTTCGCCCGAGGACAGAGCCGCTGTCGGCATGACCAAAAGCGCCATGCCATACATCACCCAGATCGTCCTCCAGGAGGCTGAGCATGTCGGTGGTCTGGACCGCGTGATTCTTGGTGGGCAGGGAGAGACTGCCGAGGCAGCTCACGAGGCTATGTCGTCATTCCCCGAGTGCAAGAGTGACAGTGCAGATGACGTTGCTGTTTTCATTCAAGATAAGCTTCATTCGACCTGTACCGACCTCAGCCAGCTGCGCCTAGCCGGCTTTGTTGGTATGCATACCCCCGACGGTGAGATGACCCGCGATGTAAGGAACAAGGCGGTCATGTCCAAGGCAGCTCCAGGGAAGAACAAGATCAACTCCAGTATTGTCACCAACACACCTCATAAGTTCATCAATGGTGGATACAAGACGCAGACCATGACGTGGGATGGAAAGCGCATCGACACGTTCGCGGAGTTTCTCGAATCTATCCAAGTGTACCGCGTCCCGGACAGAAAGAAGATGAGCAAAGAGACTCTCGTCCCCAAAGATCGCAAGCCTGTTGAAAGGTGGGACCCAAGGGAGAACCTCAGCGATGCACAGAAGTATGCGCTCGAGATTGCGGAACAGAAGAAGGAGAACGAAAAGTTGAGGGAAAAGATCCTGGTTCGTATTGAAGCCAACAAGGTTGAGCGGAAGATCGTCCAGGAAAGGGAGAGGAGGAAACGAGGCATTGCTTCAAATCCTTCAAAACCTCATGATCGATACACAGATACCATCAATTCCCTTGGCGAGGAACCAATCCGACCTTTGAACCGACATGCTGGTCAGACTTCAAATCAATTCACATGTCTAGGTCAGTCACTGGAATCCATTGACATTGAAGAACCATACACGGATGAATCCTCCGAGGAGTCTTCTAACGTTGATGAATTCAAGCAGACCACCCACGCAGGCAAGCCTAGGGTATCAGTGTCTTCGTCAGAAGAGACGGTAACTCCGACCCCTAGCAGCAAGGGTCGCTTGGTGTCTGGCAAAGCCGAGGTCAAAAGAGCTCGGCAATCTAGAAAGGCTGGACAAGGGATCAATTGGCAGCGACGGAGGCACGGAGAACTGACAGATGGTCAGATGGCGGCGTTCGGTTTGTCGGAAACAGAGGATATTGCTGAAGATATCGATGCTTATAACTTCACCGGTACCATGATGGATTAAAGGTATTGGGGCAACAACAGTTGACTGTCTTTCTAGCCAAAGTCCATTTAGATATGCCCCACTATCTAGAGCGAAGTGTCTAAGTAGACATCATTAATGCAATCCTAATAACTCATCCTGCTTGTCCTTAGATTGCCCTTAGATGGGGGAACCCGAACAGCCCATTGCTTGAGTGCCTTGACTTAGCATCCCGGAAGTCCTGTCACAGTATCCTGCAACGTCCATTTTCCTGTGCAAGTGGCTGTTACGTTGCTCGACGTGAGAAGGTCAATATCCTCGAACTTGATGTTGCCACATTTATGTCTGGCACTGCACGAAAGACTGACGCGATTTGTGGAACCTGATAACGTGCCCGTGAAGTTGAGAAAGTCGACGTCTGAGACCTCCATATTGCTCGTTCCGGCAAAGGAGCCATTGTTCCCGTTGTTTTGATTGATCGAGGGAGCGTTGTTGACATTTTCATAGTAGACATTGGCGAACGTGATGTTTCGAACACGGCCCCAGCCGCCTCCTCGTGGCTTGCCGGCACTTTCGTAGTGATCTTGAGGTGCAAGCTCTCCAATCCATGTCTTGATGTAGACCCCAATTCCTAAATCAATTGATGACCGCTTCAACTGCTTGATAGTTAGTCACTGATAAAATCAGCATCCGGCCAAGATTACCTGTAAGTTCTTCATCATCACGTTCTCCACGCTTGAGTCCTCGAGATACTGCCCAAGACTCCCGATGGCAATGCCATTGCCACCATGGCAAGTAACGTCTTCTAGATATATGTCGTACGATCGGGGCTTGATAGCGACGCAATCATCTCCGCCCGAGTACTCGAATCCCTTGACGCTAATGTTGCGCGCATCCATGGTATCTGAAGACTCCTTGTTAGTCTTTCAAGTCCTTCATGAGGAATCCTCTGGGTGACGCACCAAAACCGTCAGTATTTTGGACCCAATTGTATCGTCCAGGGGCTTTAGTCGCTGTGGCATTACTACTGATATTCTGGAAAACCATGTCTGTCCCATTCATGATGTTGTAAGCCCAGAACTGAGGCTGTTTAATGTGGAAGTTCCGAACAGACACATCGCTGACGTTCCAGAACACGAAAGGCTGATTTCCCGTGAGTGAAAAGGATGTAAAAAGTAGTAAGAAGGATTCGAGGCTTTCAATCTTACCATAGGACGTCCTTCGACCGTTTCGCCTGCTTCGGAAGTGTACCACGTATCACCATTCCCATGAATGCCTCCAGTTCCATGACCATCAATGTGGATACCGTCTCCCGTTAGGATGAATGCGGCGCGATGGTTTTGAAACTCGACAAAGTAGGAGTTCGACCTCCAGTAGGTGATGTTGTCGGAGAACTATGCAGCATCAGTGAAAGGTGTATCGTTCAGCGTAGATGTGTGCCTACCGTCCATTCTCCTCTCCATTGGATCTGCACATCCTTCACGTGTGGGTTCAGCTTCTGATCAATCCAAAAGTTCTGCTTCTCAGGAAATATGATGCTCCCCGAATTTCCGCATCGATCAAAAGCGTTCAGAATATTGTCGACGTCACTCTGCTTGTTTCCTTTGGCAGTGACTGTGCACTGGGGTCGACCATGGACGATAGCTACCTCCACACCACCGCCGCTCGCCAGAGCACCGAATACAAAACCAACCAGCAATACAAAAGAGACTCTCATTGTGAAATCTAGATTTGGATGTTTGATCCCCGTGTGAAGTTGTGAGCAAGATTGAACGTGTCCTTTATGTA